TATGACGCACACCTGCACACTTGCTAGCGTGTTCCACTCTTCGTTTTCCGAATGCCAGGAAGTATTCTTGACTCGCTTCTGAAGCAAGATGCTCGGCAGACATGTGCTACCAAGCAAGCGTACTCGCGATTGAGAAACACCCCCCGTCTCCGGTCCCAAGGTCTGTCACCGTAAAGAGTCCCCGGGGAAACGGCGAACCCTCTTTTATCGTTCCGGATGGGGTTAAAAGAGCAGGGTGGAGGCAGGGGTGGTTTTATATCATGTACATTGATCTTGTTGGTTTATAATATTTTTCTTTTCATACATTAATTAGGTATAATTTAATTAATGGATGTTTGTTATTCTCAACTAAATGTTTATTGTTATTTAACTGGTTTCCTTATCTGAGCTAACCATCTCTGCACATGCCACCCCTTTTGATGGTACGGTCCAATTGATGGGCCTATAAAGGGTGGCATGTTAGGCTCATTGAGGAGAGAGATAGTGTTGGAGACAGTCATATGGGGATATTGATGTTGTCAACCATGTACCAATGATGAATAAATTCCCACACCTGGTTGTATCAGGACGTTCTGTATGGAGCTAATTTCCTGCCATAACTCCACAAACAAACTAAACAGGTTTTACAAATGCCTCATGATTCACTAACAAACACAATGTGGTTTGCAAATACAAAACACCATCTACAAACTAATGCATTTAGTTTTGCAAAGAAAAAACGTATCTATCAAATAAACACATAACATTTTTCTAATAAATCATGTTTCAGAGACAAATTCAGCATAGGTTTTACAAGTACACACATTTTTTTACAACTACAACACTTCTTTTTACAAGTACAACACTTTTTTTTACAGGTACAACATTTTTTCTTCTCACGGCAGAATATTACTGCCAAAAGTCACGTGACTCACTCACGTGACTTTTGGCAGTAATATTCCGCCGTGGTTGTGCTCATACACACTCACACATGCTCACTCACACATGCTCCACGGCAGCAGGGGGCGCTACTGAGTCCATTGGGAAGGCGGGAGGTTGAGCAGAGAATGGAACAGCCCTTGCCAGCCTGATGACAGCTGTGTTTCTAGCGATCCAGCGATCTGAATTTAGCGATCACAACGAAAACAGCCAAGACACATATTGAGCCCAGAAAATGAATGTTCTTAGGGCTGTAAATATAATAAGCCTTTGTCTAAAATGGACAACATTGTAACTAAGGAGATTTAAACTATACAGCGATTCTGCACTCGGTCAATCAGCTGCTCTTCATTTTCTTTCCTGCTATATTCAATGAGTGATACAAATATTTTTTAACATACGTTCTGAATAAAACTGATACTGTTGGACTCGGTACTAGTTGACTGCTACCAGAAATAAAAGGAAGTACTTTACTGTGTACTTTGTGAGTAATCCTCTGTCAGAGTCCCCTCCATAGTACATAATGCATGTTTTTTGCTATCTTTGATGAATGATAAAAATAAAATGTTACCATTAGTTCTTAATGAAATTGATACGGTTTGACTTTGTATTAGTAAGCCTACTACTAACAATACATTGAAGTACTTTTACTGTGTATTTTTTGAGAAATACTCTGTCAAAGTCACCTCCTGAGAACAAAATCAAGCCACTTCTGCTAAGTTTGATGAGGGAAAAAAATATGTTTTGCCATTAGTTCTTCGTGAGATTGACACTGTTGGACTCAGTACTAGTACCACAAGTACTATGAAGTACTTTTACTGTGTACTTTTTGAGTAATCCTCTGTCAATGTCCCCTCCTGAGTACAATAATGCATGTTTCTCTGCTATTTTGAATAAGCGTTAAAACACCTTTCTTATGAGACTGATATTGTTGGACAGAGTACTTTAAGAGGATGGTTGACATGATATCAGCAATACTTCCAGTCAGTACTCCAGCAGCAGCATTTTTACCCCTTGGAAAGTCTTTAGAGTCTGGCCTGGATAGCTGGTCACAAATATCCTTCAGCAAAGTGACGCACCCTTGTGACTCTTGTTGGCCTCTTATGGGGCTGCTGTCTTTTAAATATGATTATTTCTCTGCTCCTAGTTCATTCCTCTCAGATTCTTCCATCAGTCCCAGTCATTGCATGTCTGTCAATAGAGCTTGGAAAAATGTGTCCAATTCAACAAAATGTTTTTGTGAAGGTCAGAGCTAAATTATAGATTGTTTGATTGTGTAATTACAAGGTGAGAGAAAATAAATCCACATCCTCCTATTAAACTTATTTTATTTACTTTTCCATGTTGTACATATACTTACTTGCATTACATGTTGAACCACATGCTGGATATCTTCCCCAGCCTCAAGGAAATACAATAAAATTAATGGATTCATAATTTAAAATGTTTATAAAAATGTATAAATTAATAATGTTGTGTGCAAACATTTCAAATTGAAATATAAAATGAAAAATAAGTTTACTTTTGAAATGATTTCTCACAAAAACCTTTCTAAATTATAGTAAATTATTAAAAAAAGGTTTCGTCAATATACGTTTTTCTGCCTAAAATAGTTAAAATTGAACGTAAACTATATCAAACACCACATCCATGGCAATTATCCCATTTTTGTTAAGTTAATAACAATATTGATATTATATATATATATATATATATATTTATATATAATATATATAGCATATAATTGATGCAGTCTTTCTGAACATTTTTTAAATACTGCAAATGAAGAATATTTGTAATGTTTTACACAGATAGTTCCTTAACTTGAATTTGAAAACACGTGGCAACTTTATTAATACAGCAGTTGAAAAGATTTGTGGAAGGATAAATTCTTCATGGGCTTCAATGGCTCTCTAGATAAAGGGTGTTTTATGGTTGCTTGTATTATCCTCAGATAGTGGTTTGTTTAAATAACTAGTGACATTTTAATAAATATTGAAAAAAATTGCTCCAAAAAAGGCATATATATATATATATATATATATATATAATCTGGCCGGCTTAACCCGTCTGTATTTCTTCAAGCACCACAAGATTCATAGTTTATAAAGTACAATTCTGGGCCATTGATTGTGTTATTTCTCCAAACACATACAGTAAACATGCCTGTTATGAAGCCTTAAAATGGTGCGGGAAAAGGACTTTACATTTGGTTATACTTAAAGACAGGACTATTCAGTTAAGAGAAGAGAAAAAAGTAAAGAAAATTGTTATAATGGGTGATGTAACATTAATGACAGACATAATATGAGGTCCTTGGCACTCAGACTTTAGAGGGGTCATTTTGTGATCATGGGGCATCACCCTTACAGCATCAGGACAATATCATAATGGAGTCAGATACTGGAAGTGTGCTGGAGGCGTTAACTGGGACTGATGGAAGGATGAGGCTGATGAGACTGAAGAATCTGCGAGGAACGAACTAGCGGCAGAGGAATAATTATATATTAAAAGACAGCAGCATCATAAGAGGGCAACCATGTGACAGAGTGTGAACTTTGCTGAAGGATATTTGTGACCAGCTATCCATTCCAGGCCAGACTCTAAAGACTTTCCAAGGTGTGAAAATGCTGCTGCCGGAGTACTAACTAGAAGTATTGCTGATATCATGTCTACCATCCTCTTAAAATACTCTGTCCAACAATATCAGTCTCAGGAAGAAATGTTTTTTAACGCTTATCAAAAGAAAAACATGCATTCTTGTACTCAGGAGGGGACATTGACAGAGGATTACTGGAAAAGTACACAATAAGTACTTCATAGTACTTGTGGGGGTAGTTTCAGTAGTACTGAGTCCAACAGGATCAATCTCACGAAGAACTAATGGCAACAAAAAATAATTCCCTCATCAAACTTAGCAGAAGTGGCTTGATTTTGTTCTCAGGAGGTGACTTTGACAGAGTATTTCTCAAAAAATACACAGTAAAAGTACTTCAATGTATTGTTAGTAGTAGGCTTACTAATACAAAGTCAAACCGTATCAATTTCATTAAGAACTAATGGTAACATTTTATTTTTATCATTCATCAAAGATAGCAAAAAACATGCATTATGTACTATGGAGGGGACTCTGACAGAGGATTACTCACAAAGTACACAGTAAAGTACTTCCTTTTATTTCTGGTAGCAGTCAACTAGTACCGAGTCCAACAGTATCAGTTTTATTCAGAACGTATGGTAAAAAATATTTGTATCACTCATTGAATATAGCAGGAAAGAAAATGAAGAGCAGCTGATTGACCGAGTGCAGAATCGCTGTATAGTTTAAATCTCCTTAGTTACAATGTTGTCCATTTTAGACAAAGGCTTATTATATTTACAGCCCTAAGAACATTCATTTTCTGGGCTCAATATGTGTCTTGGCTGTTTTCGTTGTGATCGCTAAATTCAGATCGCTGGATCGCTAGAAACACAGCTGTCATCAGGCTGGCAAGGGCTGTTCCATTCTCTGCTCAACCTCCCGCCTTCCCAATGGACTCAGTAGCGCCCCCTGCTGCCGTGGAGCATGTGTGAGTGAGCATGTGTGAGTGTGTATGAGCACAACCACGGCGGAATATTACTGCCAAAAGTCACGTGAGTGAGTCACGTGACTTTTGGCAGTAATATTCCGCCGTGAGAAGAAAAAGTTTTGTACCTGTAAAAAAAAGTGTTGTAGTTGTAAAAACAAGATTTGTACTTGTAAAAATAAGTGTTGTAGTTGTAAAAAAATGTGTGTACTTGTAAAACCTATGCTGAATTTGTCTCTGAAACATGATTTATTAGAAAAATGTTATGTGTTTATTTGATAGATACGTTTTTTCTTTGCAAAACTAAATGCATTAGTTTGTAGATGGTGTTTTGTATTTGCAAACCACATTGTGTTTGTTAGTGAATCATGAGGCATTAGTAAAACCTGTTTAGTTTGTTTGTGGAGTTATGGCAGGAAATTAGCTCCATAGTTCTGCCTCTGCCTCCTTACTTGGTCGGGCCGCTCACTTGTCAGCCTCACACTAACCCTCTGTCTAAAATTCTCTGTCTTCCAGGTGAAGTCCTCTGAAGCCGCTCCACCCTCCAGCTCACCGTCTTCCCAGGCTGACAGGAGCAGACAGGAGGTGAACCCTTTCCCTCTCTTCTGTGCTGTGGTTGTGTTCTAATGCAAGATGTATTGTGATGTTGTCATCCTGTGCTTTTTCACTTTTGTGGGGCATAGTGAGACTCACAACAGTCTGCTAGTAAGTCCATTGCGGTTTGTTTGACTACTTGGCCTATAAATGTTTTTCCCTGTGATACTTTTATTGGTTAATTTACATCATACAATATGTGGGATAGAGCTTGACAGTATTCAATTTTAGCCTCATAGATTATTTAATCTCTTATGAAACTATGGCCAAAGAGAATAGAATACATATTTTGCTCATTTTAGGTTAATATTTGTATTTTGTGTCTCTGCTTTGACATGTTTATACTGTATGCTTTAAAATTCAAAAAGCATAATAGGGCCCCTTTAACACTTGACTTAACACTTAGTTGTGTTGTGGAAGTGATGGTCAGAAGTCTGATTGCATGCTAATGCTGCTGGAGTAAATGTACCAATGCTAGTCTCATTAGATCAAAGTTAATAGACCCAGAGACTTGATCCCTGCCAGAGCCTTAATGATATCATTCTTAATCTTGCAGATTGATATGTCAACAAAAGTGCAGCCAGAATATAAGGGCTAGCATATGTAATCATGTACTTATGTAAAAGTAGCAACTGTTGCTTCCTTATCCCTTTCATAAAGCCTTTAAATAGTGTATAATACCATATTCGCTTTCAAATAGGCCCATTTATTGCTTTAGGTTTGTGGGGTTTTCCGATTCCTGTGAGTTATATCACACTATATGGACAAAAGTATTGGGCCACCTACAGGAGCTTTTATGACACCCCATTCCAAATTCTTAGGCATTCATATTAAGTTGGTCCCCCCTATAACAGCTTCCACTCTTTTGGGAAAGCTTTCTACAAGATTTTGGAGCATGTCTGTTTTTGCCCATTCATCCAGAAGAACATTTGTGAGGTCAGACACTGATGTTGGACAAGAGGGCCTGGTTAGCAATATCCATAGTTCATTCCAAAGGTGTTCATGGGGTAGGGGCCAGGGCTTTGTGCGGGCCAGTCAAGTTCTTCCACACCAAACTCATCCAACCATGCCTTTATGGACCTTGCTTTATGCACTGGGGCACAGTCATGCTGGAACAGAAAAGGGCCTTCTTCCCCAAACTGTTTCTACAAAGTTGGAAGCATAGAATTGTCCAAAATGACTTGGTAAGATAAAGCATTACGAATCTCCTTCACTGGAACTAAGGGGCCTAGGCCAACTCCAGAAAAACAACCCATAGCATTATCCCTCCTCCACCAAACTTTACAGTTGGCACAATGCAGTCCGGCAGGTAACGTTCTCCTGGCATTCGCCAAACCCAGACTGGTCCATCAGACTGCCAGATAGAGAAGCGTGATTGGTCACTCCACAGAACACGTTTCCACTGCTCCAGAGTCCAGTGGCGGCTTTACACGACTCCATCTGACGCTTGGCATTGTGCTTGGTGATGTAAGGCTTGCATGCAGCTGCTCGGCCATGAAAACACATGCCATGAAGCTCCCTGCACAGTTTTAGTGCTGATATTAATGCCAGAGCTGGTTTGGAACTCTGCAGTAATTGAGTCAGCAGAGCTTTGGCCACTTTTTACGCACTATGCGCCTCAGCACTCGGCGACCCCGCTCTGTAACTTTACGTGGTCTGCCATTTCGTGGCTGAGTTGCTGTGGTTCCTAAACATTTCCAATTGCAATAATAATGCCACTTACAGTTGATCGTGGAATATCTAGCAGAGAAGACATTTCACAAACTGATTTGTTGCAACGGTGGCATCCTATTACAGAACCAAGTTCAAATGCAGTGAGCTCTTAAGAACGACCCATTCTTTCAAAATGTTTGTGAAGGCAGACTGCATGGCTAGGTGCTTGATGTAATACACCTGTGGCAATGGGACTGAATGAAACACCTGAATTAAATGATTAAGATTAAGTCCCAATACTTTTGTCTATATAGTATGTACATGTAAATGGTCTGCAAAGGTTAAAATCCCAAGGTTCCCTCCAGAGGAAGTTTCTCTCCCACACTCTCCCCTGCCTGAAACTCCTCCATTGGATGAATTAGTTTACTTCCATCACATAGTGACATCACTATGTAACACTTGCGCTTCTATTGGCTAGCACTCCAACACATTGTATGTGATAAGCTAAGGGGCGGGGCATTTTCAACACATCTCTAAGCGGTTGACCAATCACAACAGAGCCGGCCAGCTAACCAATCAGAGCAGACTGGGCTCTGGTTTCAGACAGAGGGTGAAAATAGGTGCTGCAGAACAGGCACTATGAGAATAATAAAGAGCTTTTTGAACATTAAAGCTCCCATGTCATGCTTTTCCGGTTATTACCCGTCCCCTTGTGTGTTATGAAGGTTTTTATGCATGTAAACGGTGTGCAGAGTCAAAACCCTCAAAGTACACCCTGTAGCGAGTAAAACTCTAACACAGAAAATACCTCCCCAAAACGCCTCGTTGGAGATACGTCACTGCCCATTTGAGTCTTCCATTTAGTTCCGGGTACCGCCTGATGTCATGCGGTACCCGGAACGAAATGGACCAATCCCGAAGAGCTATGGCCACACCAGCAGCGGCGTGTTCCTCCTCCAGAGGTTCGAAGAACCGGCATTTCACAGACGAAAGCTTCCAAAACATTGCCCAGTTTGAGGCCGGATATGCACAGCTTGTTTGGACCGTTTGGAGCAGGGGAAGATCTGGGTATACAACCTGTAAGTTTGCATTGTTATTTGTGTATTTATCAAACAAGACTGTTTAAATGTGTAAACTGTGTTGGACTGCTAAGCCATTGACACAGTGCTAACTGTGCTAACTAAGTTGCTAGAGTTTCCATATATCAACTCTAATATCAGCAGATGGCCTTGCATACATGTATCTCATAGCAGGAGAATGTCTGCATTCACACACAAAATACCTATTGACAGTATACTGCGGGGGATTTGCCGGTCAGTCGCGAAACGTAATTACATTATAGCTGGCGTAGCGATCTAACACACGGAGCTTGAGCTAGTTTTGGTCAGAAAAACATTTTTGTGATGCTACGTTGCTAGCGTTTAAATATATCAACTACAATGTCAGCAGATGGCCTTACATGTTTGTCATGGCAGGAGAATGTCTGCAGTCACACACACGGAATACTCATACAGTATACTCCGGTTTACCGTACATTGTGACCGTACATATACTGCATGTAGCTAACGAGGCTAGCTGTATGCTAGCGCAAAACAATGTATTCATGCAAGTTACATTGTATGGTAGCAGAATACCCGTATACGATTGCAATTATAAACACGTTATTGCTAGCCTAATATGAACCACTAGCTTTTGTTCATAGTAGTTTTATTACACTGCATTATAGTTGCCTTTCCTCCAAGCTAACGTTCATATCGTGTTAGCTACCAAGGTAAACAAAGCTAGGTTAGCATATTAGCAGGCAAGCTGTTCATTACACAACTACTACTAACGAATCTAAAACAACTAAGTTTCTCTAATATTTTGTGATTTGCATTTGATTTCGTCCAGCCAGATCCTGGCGGACAATCCATGACGGGGAAGGGATTCTACTACTACTGAGGCCTCGTGCTAAAAGGCACCGCACCGCACCGGCTGTGCGCAGGCAAGAGGAGGAGGAATGGATGATATACCGTGTATATATGTATATTTATGTTCATTTTGTACATTTCTAAAAATAAAGTTTAATGGAAATACTTAGTAGGCCTATCCTTTCTTCCCTGAATTCATATATAGCAAACCATGATTTGATTTCTCATCAAACAGTAGTAGTTTATAACGGGTAAAAATAACTTACTCTTTGTTATGAGAGTAGCTCGTAGGCCACAACGGAAAGACAAGGAGACATACACGAGTTTACAAAACCACGGCACATTTATTGTGGTAAATGCAAAGATAGGTGGTTGAGAGGATCGCAGAGTTAGTCTTCCTGCAGCCGCTTTGGAGAGAGACTGGGGCCGTAGTGTCCGGAGGTGTCCGTGATCGTGCTGATTAGCCTCTTCAGCTCCACCCCATCGTAAGACAAAGGCCCTGGGGCCGTCACACTCTTCTATAACAACAGTTAAAAATATATATGTATATAAAATATACCGCTGTACCGACGCCATGATAAGACTGATGTTACGCTGAGAGCAGCCGGGAAAAGCACTGACATGGGCGCAGCCTCTCTGGTGGTTGACTAATCAGAACGAGTGGCCGAGCTGACCAATCGGAGCACACTAGGCTCACAGGGAGGGGGGGGCAAGAGCTCCAACGAGTCGTTTAGTGGAGAAAGTGAATACTGCTGAATACACATGCTTGACAGAGATGCTGTATGCGAAACCAATGTGAGTTTGGAAAATTGCACAGTATAAATCTATTTTAGTATACCTCAACAATGTAATTATGATCAGTGGAAATGGCCATGACATGGGCCCTTTAAAGAATGTGAACATGTCCCAGTAGAGGCACAAAATACTAATATGAACCTAAAAATGTGCATAATATGTCCTCTGTTGATGCCGATTTACATCATTGTAAATATAGATGAGTTGTTAGTTAACAACAAAAATAACCACGCACATAATCAGCCAGTCGATGAATTGCATCGAGAGTAGAGACGCAGAGAGAAACAGACTGTGATTGTTACTATAATGGCTAGATTGTAGGCTCCACACGCTAAGCTAAAGCGTTTCTCTTTGGCACCCTGACAGTCATTAGCTAATGCTGGCATCAGCAGCACCAGCTCATTTACATAAAACAAAACAAGGCAGCACCATTAACCTGAAAACACTCCATCAACTGTCCGTCGCTACGCTAATAATGTCTGCACATTAAATCTGCATTGTGAGTTCATTAAAATCACATTAAAGAAAGAGACCTAATTGTTTTCAACCTGCTATTAGGAACAACAAATCACTTACATTAGGCCTCATGTTTCCTCCTTCAGAAGATTCTAATAGTTGTTGAATTGCGATTTAATGAAGAAAACAGCCATTTTCGGAATGCTTAAGCAGTATATTATAGTATTGCAGGAGTCAGAGAGACAGTTAATGTGATATATGTTCTGGAGTTATCTCGCTGTTAATTACTTAAAGGTCCCATGTCATGCTTTTCCGGTTATTATCCGTCCCCTTGTGTGTTATGTAGCTTTTTCTGCATGTAAACGGTCTGCAGAGTCACAAACCCTCAAAGTACACCCTGTAGCGAGTAAAACTCTAACACAGAAAAGACCTGTTTATGCTGCCCCAGAACGCCTCGTTGGGGATTTCTCTTTTTCTTCCTGGGTACAGTGACGTATTTGAGTATAGTGACAAACCGCGGATTGGTCCAAATGGACCGAGCCGTAACGTTACGTCCGCGGAGCTGTTACGTTCCTCACACACACACACTCAATCTTTTCTCAGCAGCAGCTCCGTCGATTTCTCCGCCTGAGACGGCAGGATGCGGCGAGGCTGTGAGTTTGTGTGTGAGCACACACACAAACTCCCAGCCAGGCTGCGGGTGTGCGTGTGTGCTCGGGCTGGTTTCAGGCTGGGTTTCGCTGTGTCTCGCTGTCTCGCAGACGGCCACTAGGCTCACAGGGAGGGGGGGGGGGGGCAGGAGCTCCAACAAGCCGTTTAGGAGAGAGAGTGAATACACATACTATACAGAGATGCTGTATGAGAAACCAATGTGAGTTTGGAAAATTGCACAATGTAAATCTATTCTAGTATACCTCAACAATGGAATTATGATCAGTAGAAATGGCCATGACATGGGACCTTTAAAAACATAATTAAATAATATTTAGCCTGGTTTCTGCTGCTGCTTCATATTTGCCAACGTCTTACACCACCTCGTTCTCCTTTCTTCACAGAAGGAGCGTGAGAAGAAGAAAGAGAAGGATGGTAATTCAGTGGATAAGCACAATAACACAAAGGTACAACCTGTTTGTCCATACAAACTAATATTGTATTAGCAATCTTGGTTTAACACTCCAAGTCCTAGAGATCTGGAGACAGATGAACACTGACAGGTTGATCTGATAATACAGCCAACCAAACTAATTTAGTTTTAATAGAGATGTTGGTCAATCGCAGCCATAATCTGTTTTCATTCTGCGCTCGGCACAAGTAGTGAAGTTGAACACGAGCAGCCTGTTCCTTTCACCGAGGCTGTTTATGGAGTGCTGCAGGAATAAGTACAAAACCTTGGAATGAGTAGGCATTTTTGCATATCTCAATTTTTCCGCTTGGTTAGATGCCTGGAAGTAAATAACATGTCTCCATGCTTTAATGTTCAGAAAGCTCTTTATTTTTCTCATACTGCCTGTGCTGCAGAACTTCTTTTCACCCTCTGTCTGAAACCAGAGCCCAGTCTTCTCTGATTGGTCAGCTGGCCGGCTCTGTTGTGATTGGTCAACGGCTTAAAGATGTCCCACCCCTTAGCTTATCACATACAGTGGGTTGGAGCGCCAGCCAATAGAAGCACAAGTGTTACATAGTGATGTCACTATGTTACGGAAGCAAACGAAGGCGTTGCAGGCAGGTGTGTTTGTGTTTTTAGCTTTTGCTTATATAACCGATATAACACATTACAGGAAAAGGAAAAAACCCAGGGACATGCTCACCTTCAGTTTGGTCTCCAAAATGTGTCCTCCCTTTGGCACTCCTGGGACATTTCAAACTGATCAACTGGGAAAAAATGACTATTCTAGAGTATTTAAACTCCGACTAGATTTAGTAAATGGAGTAGAAAGGCTCAAACTGTCCACCCTGTGATTAGTGCACTCAACTGTAATTTAGAAAATGGAATAAATATACATTTTAGAAAGGGTAATGACAAAAAGGGTCACAGACCACAAACTAATGCGCACGTCATTCAGTCATTTATGTAGGTTCTTGGTTCTCAGATTTTATCTCTAAGAGCTCTTAAATGCAGTTTTAGACAGGAAGTGCTTCTGGAATTACAACAAGAGAAGTCATAATTGGAATATAGCCCGCAGATATTGATAAACGCTTCAAGCGTTGAATAAGGTCATAGAGTAATGCTACTTTCTTTGCATGTGTCTGTGTGCCGTTAAGAATTCATGATGTTTGACAACAGAAGTCGCTCCACCGCTGTGCTGCAGGAACTCAATCGTCTAGGGAAACCCCTCATAAACTTTCATGTTGTTCAGATGCTCTGCTTTTGCTCGGTGCATAAGTATGAATCATTTCCCATTCATGCACAGAGGCATAAACATGTTAACTACTGTATAAAAACCATGATATAATCTACGAGTTTATGTTGGATAGTGTAAATGGAACTGCATCTGCATTAAAGAAGTTATTTGTTTAAAAAAAACTGTAACATCACTCATACCCCTTTTAAAAGCTCTTTAGGTAAGAGGGTTATATCGCAAGCTGGGGTGAGATTAACCTGATACAGATACAGAACGATACAGAAGCAGTAGAGCCGAGAGAGGAGACATACATATAGCATACTATATCGTATATCGTTTTTCGTGTTTCCTTTAATAATTTTTGACCATAATTTGAATGCCCAACAGTTTTGAAAACAAGCCGTTTTTTAATGCTGGCTATCGGGTGTAGTCATACATATGCTTAACAAGATGTCATATCGTACTATCAGAAGTTAGATCATAGTGAAAAGACACCGGTCGAATATTGCATAAGCTACAATGATTCAATGATTCAAATAATTTATGGTGAATAATTATTATGCCACACATAAACCCTGTTAAAGTTCCGTGACCTGGGGTTCTATATACTGTAGTATCTAATGCATTCTTATTACAAGTATAATTGAGTAAGTTGGCTCTAAATCTTGTTAATGATAAGTCAGACTGGCTTCGTGGCTATGCTAACATCAACCATGTAATACGAGATAAACTGTTTCTGCGACTATGTTCCCAACCATTGCGCATTAAAGCTGAACAAAATGATTAATTTATAGGGAAACATGCATCGGGACGTTGCTTGTGTTACACACAGTCAATCACTATTTTCCATTTGCTGCTGCCAGTAGCAAACCTTATGTTAAATGCTGGTTGATAACAAGCGGGGTAGCTCTCCAGCGGTCGGCAAATGGTGCTGAATCATAATGGCAATGTACCACGTCACTCTGGTGAACAGTATAAAGTTGGAGAAGTCGTTCGGCAATAAAAAAAAAAAAAAGTTTTATAGAAGAATTTGGAGGGATGAAACCCTCTTTATTACATGGCTTAGTTGAATACTCTATTCTGATTGGTCAATTCAGAACACGTGACACGTTGTTAATCCAGAACAGACAGACCGCTGTCAAGCACTTATTGACCGTTGTTAAGGACGCTCACATCTGCACAAAGAAGTCCGTTCGATTTAACTGTATACAGTTTGGCTGAAAAGCATTTCAAGACAAGAGCGACAAGAAAACAGCGGAGAAGTAACTGGCAGAAACCTTCCTTTTTACGCAGCGGTCCAGACATAGACATGAAACGGCAAAACATATTCAGTTGCCAGTTACTTTGGCATTAGGGCAGGGATCTCTCGATACTTTCCAAGGTTTGACATAATGAATTGTGCTACTTTTAAAGCAAGCAATGATGTTTTCTAATCTGTAATCAAAAAGCTCCGCCTTCCTGCTGTTGCTACGTTTTTCAAACGGTAACAACGGACTATTTTTCTTAGCGGATGCATGTCAATTTAACTCAATACATACAACTATTTTTTAAATCAATAAAAACATTTTCTAAATCCATAAAAGCATTTCAATTAATATTGGGAGTCATATCGTTACTTTGTTGAGAATGTGGCCTTGTAATAAGCGGGATAATGTGCAGCGAGGCGGTCATTATGGGGAAAAGAACACCCGGCTTTTGTGTCGGGATCCTGATCTGTCACACATGCAGAGCACACAGCACACATAGTAAAATGTGGCCTCTGCTTTTAACCCATCCTAGTACCAGGAGTCTTGTACCAGGAGCAGTGGGTAGCTATTGTACAGCGCCCGGGGAGCAATGGGAGTGAGGGGGGAAGGGGGTGTCCGGTGCCTTGCTCAAGGGCACCACGGCAGGGCCAGGAGGTGAACTGGTACCTCTCCAAGTAGCAGTCCACACTCCATATTTAGTTCTGTTCAGGGACTTGAACCGGTGACCCTACGGCTCACAGTCCAAGCCCCTACTGACTGAGCCACTGCTGGATATTCAATCTGGCTTCGTGTGAATAAGAGCAGCATGAGCACAGCTCCGACGTGATCCACCCTTGTTGTTATCTACGATGACGTGGCTCGTACAGGGCTGTAGTTGGTGGAAAAGCAAACTGGAAACTAGCACCAGCACGGAACTAGAGCGGAACTCATTTCAGTGGCAAAAGAGTATAAGTGACATAAGTGAAGCTTTTGCTTGTGGCAATGGAGCTACATTTCCCTGTTTAACACATGTATATAGACAGCTGAGTCCCACTGCACCAGACAAAGATGCCCTCACATCATTAACTTGCATAACATCGTGATCCAAAATGAAAACTGGAAATTGATGCGAAGATAAACTAAAGAGCAAATTACTGTGCCAAGATAAGTGATTTGAGCTTGGCCAGCATGTAAATCCAGCTCAGTCGGAACAGAATGACCTGGAACAGGGATCAGCGGTGTACTGAACAGACAGAATATGTGTGTGAAAGCCAGGGCTGGGGCCTGCCTTTATGCATATCTATACAGTGTGTGTGTGCTTTGTGTGTGAAGAAAACAGAGCCAGCAGGAGAGAATGTGTGTGTTTCTGGGTCATGGTTAGGAAATTGAGAATTTCTCATGGCCTGCAAAGCTGTGAGGAAATAATGAAGTGAGTGTGTGAGTGTGTTTGTGAGTATGTGTGTGTTTGTGTGAGTTTGTGAGTGTGTGTTTGTGAGTGAGTGTGTGTGTTTGTGAGTGTGTGTGTTCAGAAGCTCTACAGGGAAATGGAATGTAGGCTATGGGCAGCTGTACCCACTGAGAGTGAAATGGAGCACAGTGGTTGGTACTCTGCAGCATTCAGTTCTTACTCTACCTCCATCTGCTCATAAACTGAACTCTTTAACCTCTCATGAACTCTAACGTTACATTATCTCTGTCCCCATTCTTGCTTTTGCACCTCTCATCGTTACATACTGTACTACTGTACAGTGCCTTGCAAAAGTATTCACCCCCCTTGGCATTGTTCTTGTTTTATTGCATTCAAATATTTAATTTAATTTGTATTATTTGATGTACACAACACGTCTAAAACTTTGAAAATGCAAAACGTATTTTTGTATACATAACTATTCACCCCCCCTAAAGTCAACACTTGGTAGAGCCACATTTTGCAGCAATTATAGCTGCAAGTCTCTTAGGGTATGTGAATATAAGAAGATGAGCTTAACTGTGTGTATTAAACTAAAACGGAGCATTTTCTGTCAGCTCAGATTTTATTTCTGCTTTTTCAAACTGTAGTATGTGCTCATGTGTTGCATTGTTGGTGTGTAGGCTACTGCCTGAATATGCTGAATGAAAGGCAGGTTTTCCTTTAAATTACACATTTTTCATCCAAAATATCTTGGTGGCTGATTAACTTTTTTTAAACGTTTTTTACATGCGTTTTTAAACCCTCCCGACCCTGATTTCAGGTTACTGCCGTCTACATGTATCAAGATCTGGTGTGAAAAACACTGTTGTGCTGCATTACATTTGATTCAACATCAGAAAGAAATCAATGTGGAAAATACGAGTTACATTTATCTTTACGGAATAAATGCAATCACCATTATGGTTGTTTCCAATCGATGAAAATGCATTTACCTTTAGGCTCTTTATTTATTGTCACACCCTCTTCCACCATAGTGTGTCAGAGCTGGAACTCGTTGTGATGTTCTGTGTGTTGATGATTGATTCCCTCTCAACTTTCATTTGCATCGTACAAAATCAGTTGAAGTGGGATGCATCTGT